AAAAAAAGGCGCCAAACCCCCAAAACAACAACTCTGTATGGCAAAAAGACCATAACAAAAAAAATTATAAACCACGAACTACAAACTGGGAAAACCATTCGAAATACACAGCCAAAGGTTTCACTCCTTGCACGTCAAACGAAACAAGAGCCTATAGAAAGAGACGGGCAAAGAGGAATGTAAGTTGCGGAAAAGCTGCAGGATCTAAGTAAAACGAGGAGCTGCGCTCAAAAAGAGAGAAACGTGCTTAACCCGTGAGGTGTCTGGCAGTTGCGTTTCAGTGCCCGCTGCAGCCGGGGCTCAGAGTGAGCCGGGGGCACAGGGCTGGCCCGTGGGGATGTTCAATCGCCTCTCGGGCTTGGCGAGGAACAAACGGTTTGCTGCCGTGTGGGCACCGCCGGGGATGCCTATGTGGGTAGAGCCTCCGTGCAGGGCAGCTGGGCAACATTCCGCTAACGGCAATTCTGCCTGGAGGTCTTTACCGCTTCAAATCCACTTGCACGTGGGTGAGAACGGCGCAAGGATACTCACGGAGCAGCGTCTGGGCAAGTTTCGACACCAGGATAGCAATTCAAAAGAATGAGGCCGCTTGGCGTGTGGGGATGGGTTGGTCTCCAAGACAGAGTAAACGGAAAAGGCCAGGAGCAGCGCTGCGTAGAGCACGCTGCCGTTCTGTTTGTTTGTTTCTAAAGGAACCTACAGCCCATGCCTGTGTACACAGAGAAGTCCCTGCAGGGTGGATGAGAAGCCGCCAAGGGGGCTGCCTCTGAGGAGCAGAATGAAAGGCGCGGGGAGGCGCTGCGCCCTGAGGCTTTGATGGTTCCGCATGTGGGACCACGTGTAGGAAGAGCCTATTCAACAAACGAAAAGGAGGAGGTTCGCTTCGAGCGCTCTGACCAGTGGCCATTTCTCATGGATTCTAGTGGCACAGGCCTTCGTTCCCTGCACATCCCACACAGCTCTTGGGGCTGAGGAGGGCCAGCCTCCTGCAGCCCTCCGCAGGCCACTCCGAGCCCGAGGAGGCCATACCCAGGTTGAGACAAGCCAGTGTGTTGGTACACTTCCACTCCTTCTCGTGTGTGGCCACTTTGACGTCATCCATGACGAGAGGCACCCAGCCACCAAACACGTACATTCTGGGACGAGGGAGGGAAGAGTAGGAGACGATTGTAGAGGAGGTGCCAAACTAGAGGCCACCTCTTCCATCCAGAAAGTTCTAAACACGCTTGGTCCTCTAGCTCTCCCCAGGACGCATGAAGCTCTTGACGTGGCTCCTGCTTGGTGGCTCAGCCCTCACAAGAACTGTGTCACCTCCACATGGAACCACTGTTCATAGCTCATCTCGGTCCCCATCATTCTTATATTCGCTTTGGGACCTTGGTATTGACAGACACCCAGCTGCTTACAGGCAGAGGATCTAGAACAGTCTGTGCCCCTCTACCCTGAGTCTGTCTTCTCTCGGTCCCCCGGGGTCGTAATGGAAAGACAGGGCTGCTGAATGCCAGCCTAGCCAGAAAGAGGCCTCCTCAGGATTGCTGGAACAAAACTGAGAGCCCTTTGGGGCGGGGCGGGCAGGGAAGGGCTAGGAAGAGAGACGCAAGGGCGGGCTACTCACTTGTTGCCTATGGTCGTGGCCGAGTGGAGACTTCGTGGAAGAGGCGCCACCCCGCTGAGGCTGGGCTTGTTCCACGTGAGAGTCTCTGCAGAGAGAGGGAGAAGGGAGGGTCACTCATATGCCACACACATGCCCTCTGACCCAGAGGAAGTTCCCTGGCCTTGGGAAGGCTCTGGAATGGTGGGTGCCAACCCGATCCAAGAATTCCAGGCCTGGCCTCCCTACAGCCCATGGGAGGCCCCTGAATCAGGCGCTGGCATTTCCCAAGCCCTGTTCGCCACCCTGGCAAGTGGCGTCTCTTCGAATGTTTACTGAGCACCTGCTGTGGGCCAGCCCCGCTCTCAGGGTTGCAGCTGGGGCGGGGGGGCGTATGACGTGTCACCTCCTACTCTCCAGAAAACGCATCTGCCTGCACACCACCTGCACTGTCTACAGACCGAGTGTCAGGACGCCCCATGCTGCTGGGAATTTCGCTCACAAGAAACTGTTTGAGTGTTCACGCCGATCTCGCTACGGGATAAAACCACCCTGCAGAGATCTGTCGTCAGCCTCCTTCTCCCCTCGGCCTTCTTCAGGTCAAAAACCCACACTTCTTTCTACCGCTCCTGATGCTCCACCTGGGTACCGGCCCAAGGAGCCCCCCGAGGGCTCGTGAGCTCTCAACATTCCATCTGATGACAACAGACTGGTGTGCGCGACTCCTGGTACGGTCTGACCACTGACGACTTGATAGGGACTAACGCTATCTAATCTAGACAATTCTGTTCCCCAAAAGCCTTAACGTCTCCCCTCATTCTCCTCTAAGCTGGCAGACCCACTCAGCCTTGTTCTTTCTTAAAAGCAACGCCACAAGCTCAGGGCAAAGATGACGGCCCCAGACAGGGTCCTGCCCCAACCGTGCCACAAGGAGCCAAGCAGACCCTCCCTCTCCCTGTGAGCCCCACACCGTCGTCCCACGCTGGCCACTCAGCAGGCTAGCTTTGCTCTGAGACTGAGAAGCCACCCACATCTTACCAATATCCAGGGTCCAGAGGTCCCCCAGCCGGCAGCCACTCATCCCTCCGTAGATCACCAGCTTGGATTTCTTGTTGTCCTTCTCAGTGTAGACCACGGCGGTATGTGACTCCCGGGGTGGGGGCAGGACGCCATAAGTGATGGGGATGTCCCAGGCTACCACTCCGGAGCCTGGCCGCAGTTCCAGGATATATAAGTCATTTAGGTACCTGGAGAAGAAAGGTCGGTTACGGCAAGTCCCGACTCTGCGTGCCGCAGGCCTCACCCGCTTCTATGGGTGAACAGCAGATTCCCTGAGAGACAAAGGGAGCTGAGGTCACACGAATGAGTTCTTCTACCCTCGCCCTCAAGGACTGGCTGCCAAAAGCTCCCGAGGATGAGCGTGGGTCCAAGAGGAGCGGCAGGACCAGGGCGCGCAGGGCCGCCTGCACGTGAGGCTGGGCACCGCACTAGGGCCTCCGGCTGAGACGACCTCCAGACTTTAGAGAGGCTCTCGACCACCGGCCTTGGAAAACGAAAATGCCCCCCACTACCCCTGCAGGCAGAGGAGGCTGGGAAGGAAAGCGCCAGCCCCAAGCTGGGTCTGAGGAGAAGGGACCAGCCCTCCTCCCCTGATGCCTCCTCGCAGTTAGAGACCTCCAAGCCGGAAAGCTCTTTATGGGGCACCTAGTGCCCCTCTCTCCTTTCACAAAGGGACTCGGCATGGCGGGGCTGGCTGGCGCGTGGGATTCCACATGAAGAGGACAAAGCCTCACCTCGGAATGTTGTTCTTGGGGTCCTCGCTATCGTTGGCCAGACCCCCAAACAGGTAGCATTTGTTGCCCACAAGGGAGAAGCTGTGCCCGAGCCGAGGACATGGAGGGGGCCCGTTTTTGGGTGTCTTTGCTTTGAGTCTCTTCCACTCCCACCGGCTTGCCTGCGAAATCAAGACTCGGTGATTGAATCAGGGATGAGCCGGCCTTTGGGGCCCCGGCCATTTATCGTGTAAGGAGGAGCTGGCCAGGCCGAGGTAGGTGTCTGACTGCAGTGAGAAGGTCCCGGGCGGCGCGGGGCCTGGACAGCCCCTTGAGCAGGCCCCTTCGCCTCCTCACACTCTTGCGTCACCCGCCCCGCACCCCAGCCATGCCTCCAGGGGCCGTTACCTGGAGCTCGTAGAGGTCGTTGCTGTATTTCCCATACTCTACCATTCCACCAAACACCAGCAGGCGAGTCCCGTCGCACACGAAGCCATAGGCTGCACACCCAGGGGGTATGTCCCCTCTCACGGCTGGGATGAACCATTGGTTGGTCGCTGGGGAAACAAGAGGAAGCAGAAGTCAGAACTAGGGAGCTCCTAGAACCACAGTCCCCACTCTTCTTATTTCCCAAACCCACCAGCCCTCAAAACGCAGTCCAAGAAAAAAGGGGCCGAGACAGCGCCCCTATTTCCAAGGATACAAGACTTTCTCTTTCAGCATCCAAATGGCAGCCCCCTATCCCAGCCATCCTCCAAACCCCGTGACCTCAGAGACCACCTCAAAACAACCTGCGATCACCCTGCTTCTTTCTCATCAAGGTCATCTTAATAAGCTGGAAGTCACTAAGATAACTCATCAGCTTCTGGGAATGTGGCCACCAACTTCCTTCCCCTAATGCTGGGTGGGTCATCGGAAAGAAACTTGTAACACCCAAAATACTCTCTCCGTGGCCCCATGCTCCTCCTCCTGAGGGCCCGCAGCTGCATCTTTAAGTGGCTGAAAGATCGACTGGTACTGGCTGGTGCCGTCCCTCCCTGAAGGTGCTGGGCACATGACGGAGGCCAATCAAGGCGGCCTGGCCTGCTGGTTGAGGAGGGAGGGCAGGACACACAAGAACAATCTCTGCTGGCGTCTCCTAGGTGATGGTCCACATCGCCCCTCCTCCATGTCACGCCCACACCCCTCCAGAACATTCTCAAAAGCCAGAGGTGGCAGCAGTAGCGTGAGCTTCTGTGGCAGCCTCACAATCTCTGCCAGCCACAGAAGCTTCCACAAAGCCCATCACCTCTAGTCGGGATGGGGAAGCCACCAAGGATGAGGGTGAATCAGAAGCCAGGCAGCAAGCCTCGTGGCCTGGGCTTGGGAGATGCCCCTGACCTGCCCTCACTTCCGCATCCTTGTGTTCAACTCTCCCGACACCCAAGGTGTGAGAGCTTCTAAAAGCCTCAAACCGGGGGCCAGATGCCTAGATCGCTTTTGGTCAAACGTGGCCGAGCAAGGGGACTGGGATTTGGGCACAAATGGAGCACCCCTTGGGGTCTGACTGGGGGGGGGGCGGGTTAGGCTAGTCCCATGGGGAAGAATTTGGGAGACCCCCAGCTCCTGGCCTGACCTTTGCCCACGCATGCACTCGGTCACTGACACAGCCCCTCCCTGCACGCTGGGTAACCCAAGTTCTATGTTATCACCCCCAAGACCCAACATGCACCTTGCCCAAAAGGCCTGGACTCATCTAAAAGCACAAGTGCACCTCTCAAGACAGTTACAGCCTTTCCTGTCACGCTCCGCTACCCAATTCTACAGGTTGGTTTGGGAGAGGCTATCGGTCCCCTCTGTGGTTTGTTCAGCAGAGTCACAGGGACTTCAGAATGCCCAGCACCAATCCTCCTCTCCCCTCCTCTGCCATTTTCCTAGTAGAGGTGCAATGCTGTACTGCTTGCTACGCGCATGCGCCCAGACCCCAGGTCCCGGCTCGCTGCCTCGCGTTCATTCCCACTGCGAACACACACCAGGAAAAGCAGCGGTTTGCCATGCCGAGGCAAATCGCCTGCACAAACGGTCCCTGAAACAGGTCTCATCCAAGTGAGCAGGATAAGAGCTGACAGAAACCTCCAAGACGGTCTCAGCCAACGTCCCTCGATCGACAAAGGAACAGAACCTGGGAGGGGAAGTGACTGACTTGAGGTCACAGAGCAAAACAAACACGGAGAGATAAGAACCTTGTCACTGACTTAAAGTGATCACGAGGTGCTCACCTCGGGGCTCCAAGCACAGGGAGCCATCTGCCGAACTCCCTCACCTGGGCACCCCCGTGGCTGGCCACCCATAGCTAGAGGGCCGTTATGGGACCACCAGTCAGTGCGGGGACAAAGCTACCTGGCAAATGGGATCGACCCACAGCTTTCCCATCACGCTCTGATCACTGACTCAGCCGCCAGGCTACAAGTAACCTGGGACATCCCAAGAGCTCACGATCACCAGCCTATTCTATAGCACCCAAGGGGTGGTGAACTCATTCTGGAACACTCCAGGCAGGTCGGGGGCCCTCCACCACCCCATCAAGAGCAGTCTGCCCCATCAAGTGCAGTTTGTGGCGTGAAGTTGCAAACAGCCTCTCTTCATTTCACCCGGTCTCAGTTCTGCCCCCGAGATGGCACAAGCAACCATCTCTTAAATATGACAGCTGCTCGGAGTTGCCCCTTAATCATATTATCTTTGGGTCATCTAGCCGGCGGTGGGGGGGGGGG